AATTAAATAAATTGATGACTAAAAAGGAAAGAGATAATAGTTTTACGATGCATACGTTTACCAATTACCATTAAAAAACTACCTTGCGTAAAAAGAGAATACCATGTTCAATAAAGTTCCAAAAAAAAAAAAACCCTAAAAAAGGCCAGTTTTGTAAATTGAAATTCAAATCATCACCAAGAGGGAGAATATCCGTCGATCACCTTGGTTCCTTCGTGTATTTTTTCCGCGCCTCTTTCCCGGTTGCCGAACAGAAAAATGAAACACAGAGATTTTGAAAATTACTAAGTTCCAATCTCTTAATAGGAAATACAGAGAAAGAAACGAAAGAGAGAATAAAACAGAGTCGTCAAATAATAAAAACGAAAGGAAATTTGAGTGAAACAAGGCTACGTTGAAATGTTTATCAGTTGTTTCTTTTTTCAAATATTTTCTGCTCTCTAGTAGTTAGTTTCTTCTCTCAAACTTCGCCCCTTCCCTACCTTTCTTCTCGTCTTTGATCGGTCGGTTCTCTATCTTCAATTTCTTTTATCTGTTTTTATACATAACTACGAAATTTATACGAATACGCATACGGATACAAAGACGTATTGTATAAAAGTATGTTTTGGATCACTGTTCTAAGGCTACTAGGGTGTATTCATTGACACTTTGATTGATTTGCCAGGTGTTTCGTAAACGGTCAATGCGAGTGCTTGAAATGCCTTGCCAAGAATAAAGATCGGTGTGGTAGAGAAAGATGGATTTTACTTGTTTTAAGCATTCCACTAGCTTTCATGGCGGTGAAGGTATTAGAAATATGATATTGGATCCATTATGTCATAGGTTTAGCTGTAGAAATTTCAATCGCAATGTTTTCTATCACAAGCATGGATCAAAAACCTGCTCCCTGAGAAAAATGAGGAGAATCATGGAGTATAGTAGTCCTTTAAGTTCAAATTTGGTTTTTGAAGGAAACTTTGATAGTCCTTTGTGCAAAACGTATTTGGCTACCTCATTTTTTTATGATTTACCTGGTGTATTCATAGTAAGAGAAGTTAGATCGCGGAGTCAAGGTAATGATTCTTTAGCCCGTACTGATGGGAATGGTCGGAATGCGGAATTTCCCGAGAGTAATGATGGTTCAAGTAATTCTGTATCCAATGGTCGAGTAGAAGAAGTGAGGAATCTAAGTGGTAAAGTGGAAACACCTAGTGTATACGAGTTGAGGGAATTGGTGCAGAAGGCAATGGAGGAATTGGAAGCGGTACATCTTAACAGTAGGATGTTTGAGGAAAAGGCTCAGAAAATATCAGAAGCCGCAATAGCCTTGAAGGACCAAGTAACTAATGCTTGGAATGATGTTAGTAGCGCGCTTAATGTGATGCAATACATTGTCAATGAAGAGTATATCGCTAAAGAGGCTGTTCAAAAAGCAACAATGGCACTATGTTTAGCTGAGGCAAGGCTACAGGTGGAAGTAGACTTGGTTGAACCTCTGGAAAGGGGAAATGGTTCCCTAGAAAGTTATGGAAAGACTGATGTTCCAAATGTTAAGATAGTGGAGTACTATTGGATGCACAATATGAGATTCGAAAATGCCAGGGGAAGTTGGCAAATTATGAAGCAGAGTTAAGACAAGTGCGGATTAAAAAGGAGGAGTTGCAGAAAGAAGTAGAGAGATTGAATAAGGTTGCCGAGAAGGCACAGATGGATGCCCTGAAAGCTGAGGAAGATGTGGCAAATATCATGCTTCTAGCAGGGCAAGCTGTCGCTTTTGAAGTGGAGGCTATAAAGCGTGTGAATGATGCTGAGATTGCCCTAAAAAGAGCTGAAAAGTTTCTTTCTAATTTGACTGTTGACACGGATGAAGCTGCCCCGGACCAGGTTTTGGGTAAAGAGACTATTGTCAAGGAGCAGAAGATCAGTCAAGGGGGTTCTGGTGATGTTTCCCTTGAAAGAGAACAGGATGCTTTGAAAGTTACTACATTTGTTATTCTGATGCTTTGGCTGCTATTCCGTTACTGACATCCCATTCCTTCATGATGAAGGCTAAACTACCGGAATCGGAGATTGTTTCGACAATCAACGAATTTAGGTCCCGCCACCTTGCGGAGCTAACGGAGGTAGTATTTTCCTCCCACCTTTTTAAATGGTTTGGTTCGTTCGTCACTTCTGCGTGTATTATTATTTAGGACAAACTACTCATTTGGTCATCTACCTATTACTTAGTTTCTGTTTCAATCACTCAACTATTTGGTTTTCAAAATCATGCCTAATGTTACGTTTTTGTTCTATTTTGGTCATCTATCATTAAAAAAATAGTGGTGATATTAACATATCATCATACGATAAAGTTGATTCTGCATTGAAAAATAATTTAAAAAATGCCACTCAGCATCTCTTTTATTTTTTTTAATATTGGGTGACCAAAACATAATCAAAATGTGATATTATGTATGATTTTAAGAAAATAATAGTTGAGTGACTAAATCAGAGATTAAATAACAGGTTAGTGACCATATAAATAGTATACCATAATCAAAACTCGACTTGATTCGAAAAATTAATTTTTTGATTAGATTTGACTCGAAAAAACTCTACTTGAATTGACTTCGAGTTGCAGTTTCATAAACTCGACTCAACTTTAAAAATTTCAAGTTCAAAACGAGTTGTAAAATACAACTCGAATAACTCAAAATTTTTAGTAATTAGTGGATTTATTTTCAAGTTTAAGTCGAGTCCTTCGACTTTCTATGAGATATGCATATCACATATGAAAAAATACGAAGAAATATATTTGTATTATATATATGATTATAGAAAGTCACTTAAATTAGAATAAAAATATTATAATATTAAAAATATTTACAACTAAAATTAAACATAAAACTCAAAATTTTTTAAGTCAATTCTGAAATAGGACTCGTCAACTCGAATAACTCGAAATTTTTTGACTCGATTCGATCGAATGTCCACTCTAATGATTATGAGTAGACATTAATGGAAGAAAAAGTAGATGGTATGGATCTCAACTCCAAAAATTTTGGAATCACCTAGTATTACAAAATGAAGTAACAAACTAATTAGATGGTCACTCACACCTGACATCTCAAAGTGTTGTCTTGACAGCTATGCCAAGCTAGTGGATGTTCTCTTGGTTATGGATTTTTTGGAGTCAAGAGTAAATCCAAGTCTACCGTTTGATTCTTCAGATGAAAACCACTTCAGTGAAGGAACTTTGGCAATATGACAGCTATACCGTTAGATTATTGACAGAGCCAGTGGATGTTCTCTTCATTAGTTTTTTTTCTTCCTTCTTTCTCGAGCACCCCATATTTTACCCGTACTCATTTAATGAGTTCAATTGCTCATAGCGGTCTTTATCGAGAGAGTTGATCGCGAGTTGGATGTTGTTTATATTATATTCGTGAAAAAAATTATTGTTCGACTCGATTCTTTGTTTGTTAAGTTCGTTAAAATTTTAACGATAGATTTCCAGTTGTAACTCAAATCTTTTGCAACACAGCCTTTTGGGACCAAAGAATGAATTGAAAAAAATCAGGTTTTGAAGAGAAATGGGCCGATGAGGATATGCTATGAACATTGAAGAAGCCAGCATTTTTTCTTTTGCCAACAAAATTGTCAGCCGCTTATGCTTCTATAACAGACAATTGAGGGTGAATTTGCTGGGATTCTTTTGGAAGATAATGACATAAATTAAGGAAAGAAGGAATTTTTTTGGGTGAGAAGTTTGAGTGGAGATGATGCCAATAAAATGAGAATTAAAATTATTTGTAAGGATAATTTGATAGAATATTAACATATTGAAAGTAATTTATTTAGAATTAATATTAAATTAAATAAAGATGTATCTACGGTCAAATTTATTGTTATATTAATTTAATTAATTATCATGCTAGTTACTATAGATAAAAATAATTAATTTATTTTTTTTAAAATAAAATAATTATTTTATAATTGAAAAATATTATTTAAACATTATATAGTTAAAAACTAATTACTTATTTTAAAAACATTAAATTGATTGACTTTATTGTTCCTATCATATTTTAAAGTCTAAATGTTTTAGATTTTTTGTGGATGAGTCTGAAACATAACCAGTTAAAAATGGTTGAAACTGGTTTTAACCGAAAAACTTATCAAATATCATTACCATTATTTTTTAGAGTATTTTAGATAATAATTTAGGTTGAAACTAAAAATATTATGTTATCTGAAATAAATCATTTAAATTGTATAATTATTTCGGTTGTAACTTAAAAAGTTACCGTCGAAACTTTATTAGTTGTGTAACTTTTTAGAATAGATATATAACATTTTAAGTTAAAAGTCATTGTAATGTAATATTATTGGTTATAATCGACATTATTATTATTTGTATAATTTTTTGAATTGAACAACATAATATTTTAAATTAAAACTCAACGTAAATTTATCTTTCATTAAATCGTCGCACAACAAAATTATTCGACTTTTCAATCTTTCTACTTGTAACTGTAAAATAAGAAAAATATATTAAAAAGGGTTAAATCAATTTGACTTCGTTAGGACTTTTAAAATATGAATTGTTTTTAATTCAGTTTGATTTTTAATTTTTATATTTATTTTTAATTTTAATAAAAGGATTTTATTTTATGTTTTTTAAGATTATTCGATAAAGTTTTAAGTTTTTCTATAAATACTTAAAATTATTTTTTTAGTAAATGTAAATAATAATTTTAATTAATTTTTCTTGTTTAAAATATAAAATATTTGTTACATTATAAAAATTAATTTTAAATTAAATAAAAAATATTTTATTTTTATAAATATATTTTTTAAAATTATAAATAATATTTTACATTTTTTTAATTCGATTTAATTTTATTTATCTTTAAATTTCTTTATTCAGCCATAATTTTGACATGAAGCGGTTCATTTGTAGATTAGGCAGGTAACGAGCCGATTCCAAGAGTTCACCTTTTTCAAGATAAATAAATAAAATTAAGACAAATTCGTTGTTTTTGCAAAGCCGAAGCCCAAGAACACAAAGCAAGTGAACAGAGTCGCGCCGCCAAGGCCGCTTGCAAAGTGAAAAGCTGAGAAGCAGCTTCCGTTTCCGTCATCTCTGCGTTTTAGTGAAGCCCTAAATACCGAAGCAACGTTTAGCTTACTGCATCGTCGTTTCAGGACTCATAACAGTATCATGGCGTCCATGATATTCACTGACCCTTCGTCGGCCGCCGCCGTCCACCGCCTCCCCTTTACCCGTTTCAACAACGGCTTCAATCCCCTTCGCCGGTGTGTGAGCCCACTTCATGTTTTCTCTCCCATCCCTACCCTTCCTCGAATCCTCTCCGTCCACTCTCCTCGTTCTTCCCGTTTCGTCACCGGTATGGAATTTTTATGGAAGTTCTCATTTTCTTTAAGAAGCTTTTTTTTTTACATAATTCGGTTTTCTTTATTATTTTCTGTCACTGTCGCATTTTGTTAAACGCTTGGACTGTATTATGTGCACTTAAACATTTGATCACATTAATCTTTATATAAAATGGGATCATTAAGGCGGGTTTTGGTTTGTTGTTATACAGCTTCAATGGCTATAGAGTCATCTGCTAAGGTGATCGATGGGAAAGCGGTGGCAAAGCAAATAAGAGAAGAGATAAGCGGCGAAGTGTCGAAACTGAAGGAATCAATTGGAGTTGTCCCTGGATTGGCAGTTATTCTAGTTGGGGATAGGAAGGACTCTGCTACTTACGTGCGGAACAAGAAGAAAACTTGTGAATCTGTAGGGATTAATTCCTTTGAAGTGCATTTACCTGATGATGCTTCTGGGGAAGAAGTTCTCAAGTTCATCTCTGATTTCAATGGTGATCCTTCGGTTCATGGCATCCTTGTTCATTTGCCTCTACCTTCTGTATGATTCTAAACTACTTACAACAACCAACACTTTTATCTTGTTTGTGTGAATCACACTATATGCAGTATATGAGGCTTGCATGGTTGAAACTAATCATGGTCTAGGGAAATTAATTAGCTTAAATTGCAATATTTGAAATAGCTAGTGCAATTATTTGAGCTAATGCATTATGTTGTCTACCAATAGGTGTTTTGCCAACATATTACTACATGGTTAAAATCCATTGAAAGACTTAGTCTTTTGGGACTTCTTAATGAACTGAAAGTTAAAGCCAAAAGGTGTCTGTTGAATCTGCGCTTCATTTTTTGTTATTGATAAATCAAGATTTTATTACCCAAAAATAGCAGCAAGCTGCTAACAAAACAGTTCAATCAAGGAACAAGCAAAGGGAACTATTTACAACAAATTAGACTATATCCCAATGATTAAAAATAGCTAAGTTAATGCTATCTAATATGTTGGAAATTCTATTACTTAGAAGAGTTCCTACCATCTCCTTAATAGTTTTGATAATTTCTACTTCACTTCTGGAAGTTCCTTTGAATATCTGACGATTTCGTTCTTCCCAAATGGTGTAATTAAAGGCGTTCCATGACAACTTCAGAATGCAAGTTAGCAGTGATTTACCTTTCCATGAAGAGGTTGCCCATTGCAGCAAAATAGTCCAATTCGAGAAATTCCTGTTCATACCAGAAAGTTGCAGAATTGATTTCCAAATGGAAGCAGTCTTCGAGCATTCGACAAAGAGGTTGTTTCTAGTTTCCGTTGCTTCCGAGCAGAACATGCAAAGATCGTTTGTAATAAGACCAAATCGTTGCATTCTGTCCTTAGTGGGGAGCCGATCCAAAATAATCATCCATGAAATTATGCTATGCTTCGGGACATGTAGAGAATACCAGAGAAGTTTGTGCCATGCGACTTTAGCATCTCTAGGGCGGATTTCTTCCCAAATCTCTTAAGTACTTTTTACTGTTGTTACACGCACTGTTTGAGCAGCATTTCTGAGCTTCAACATTCGCTTAAAGCTCCAGCTGGCAGATTGCAGTATTTCTATGGTTCATAAATCATGCTGCTTAATTGTTACTGGCTTGGTCTTATTCTGCTGTTTAGTAGAAGTCTATACAATAGGACCTTTGCTAGATTCTGGAGTCAACATATTTTGTTGTCTATCTCTTGGTTTGTCGTGCATTTGGTACTGATATGGCTCTTGATTGTGCTTCATGTGTTTCCACCAGCATATGAATGAGCAGAACATCTTAAATGCTGTTACGATTGAGAAAGATGTGGATGGCTTCCACTCATTGAACATTGGTCGTCTTGCCATGCGAGGTAGAGAACCGTTGTTTGTTCCGTGTACTCCTAAAGGATGCATAGAGCTATTACATAGATACAGTGTTGATATTAAAGGAAAGAAGGTTGTTGTTATTGGCCGAAGTAATATCGTGGGGATGCCCGCTGCTCTATTACTACAAGTAATGCTTTTGTCCTAATCATTTCTATCAACCTCTAAGAAAATAAATTATTATTTCTCTCCCTCCCCCAACAATGTCTTGATATTTGTAGAGGGAAGATGCTACTGTAATCATTGTCCATTCTAGAACCAAGAATCCCAAGGAAATTACAAGGCAAGCAAATATTATAATATCTGCTGTGGGGCAACCAAATATGGTGAGAGGTAGCTAGATAAAGCCTGGTGCTGTTATTATTGATGTTGGAATAAATCCAGTTGAGGTTAGTCAACATTTTCCCTCTCTTCTTTTTTGAGTTCTCCATCTACATGTTTCCTTACCCACATCCTACTAAAATACCCTCGTTTGTGTGTGATGTTGTTCATGTGAAAGGATGCAAGTAGTCCACGAGTATACCAGTTAGTTGGAGATGTTTGTTACGAGGAGGCCTGTAAGATTGTTGCATCTATTACTGTTGAGTTAATCGATCGATGGAATCGGCCAAGAGGGGGTGAATTGGTAATTAAAATTTTGGTGGAAGCTTTTGTAGAAAATTGAAAGTAATTGCACGTCGATTTACAGTGGTTCGACTTTCTCAACAAAGTCTACGTCCACTACCTTAGCTATCTACACTAAGGATTTTCCAACAAATTCACTAATTTGTTCTTTCTTTTGAGGCCAAAGAGATAACCTTACAACTCCCTCAAGAATTATACCCCAATTCTTGAGAACACTCTTTCTCAAAGAGAATATTACAAATTTTGCAAACTTACAAGAAAACCTCACAAGGTAAGATGTTTGCACAATTCTAGAACAAAGAAAGAACACTCAAGAATAAATATAATTGAGCACAATAAGTGTTCTTGAAAGCAAAATGAATATTGAATGAAAAATAGGCTTGAAATGCTCAAACTTGAGGTTTGATGCTTTCTCTTTGATTCTCTCTTGATTATAGTTGCTTGATGTTTCTTGTTGTTGATCAATGGCTTCTAAGCTTGTTTAAATACACCTTGAATCACTTCTGAACGTTGCGGATCATTAATGAAGTTATTGGAGCCGTTTAAGTGTGAAAATAATTAATATTTCTTCTTGGAGCATGAGGAGAATCGGTACCCCCTCATGGGGAATCGGTTCCCTAAGTGTAAAATTCAAATATTCGACCGTTGAATAGTGGGGGGAATCGATACCCCCTGGGGGGAATCGGTTCCCTCCGAGCATACTGGAATTTCTCTGAGCAAAAATCATTCAAGAGGGAATCAGTACCCCCTTGGGGGGGAATCGATTCCCTTTGAGTAATCTGGAATTTTTTGCTTTGAAATGGTTCGAAATATTTTGTAAAATTGTTTTGAAATTATTTTAAGTTTAAAACTTAATTTTACACTTAAGTAAGATTAAAAATGACATTTAAAAGATTTGGAGTAATAACTTGATATTCGAATAATTATATCGAATATACTTAGAAAATCTTTTAAAAAATCTTAAAATTCATTTATCTTAATTTGTTATATTGAAATATCAAAATGTTTTCAACAATCTCCCCCTTTTTGATATAACAAAACATTTTAGTAATTTTAAGATTTTGAAATCAAGTTTTGAAATTACTCCCCCTTACTCTAACACTTCTCACTTTTAACATATTTCTCCCCTTTTTGTTAAATCAAAAAGATTTTTTTTTAAAAGAATTGTAAACAAGGTTTTGAAAAGTACTTAGCCAATTGATTATAATAGATATAGCTTAAGCTGTGAAGAACACAATCAAGAGAAACGTTAGCCATTAGCTTCATAATCAATATTCATAAACAATGTGACATGGCAAAATTGGTCATATATCTAATTAATGTAAATGATGCAATAATAAATTTAACCAAACCAAATATATAGAAATATAAGTTCAAAATCCAATCATCCAAACCATAACAAATTCAAGCATTTAACAATCCAAAAACATTCAAAATTTTGAAACAATAAGCTTTAAGTTCAAAGTACTAAAATAACAGAATCAAGCATCCGTAGTAGGATCGGGAGGAGGAAAATGAGCTCGTATAGCGGCCATATCATGTGAGAGTGCATCGATGCGTTCATTTATAGAAGCGTTGTCTGTGAGCATCTCCCGGAGAATTTCCAATTGTTGAGCTCCCATTGTGGATAAATGAGATTCTATGTTCTATGGAAGTGAAGCGAGAATCCATGGAAGCATATCGAAAATCGAATGTCTCCATAAAGGATTGAAAGTATGGAGACATTTGATCCTCTGGCTGTGCTTGTTCCTCGTGCTGTTCTGGTTCATCGTCGGAGTCGTTAACTTCAGGCGGTTGCTCACCGGTACGAACTCAAAGACCAGTTTCTTCATTGATCTTCCATCCCGATTTAGTTAAAGAGAATAGATTGATTTTGTTTTTGAGGGGAAAGGAAGCATCAAGACCAACTCTAAGACCAACTCTAAGCCCAACATTCTTAAACAGATTACTAAGAATACAACCGTAAACTAAAGAAGAACACAATTTCTTATTGGGAACAAGATTTACGGTTTCGACAAGTTCAGCAAAAATAATATGTGGAAGGTTTATTTTAATATTGTTTTGGAAACAATGTAACCACCAAAGATCCAAGGCTCTAAGAGTTGAGTAACGACCTCCGGATGATCGAAATCACCAAGAAATCATTAGATGAAGAAAACGATCATGAAGATCTAAGACACTCGCACTATCCCTTCTTTTATAACAAGAACCTAAAAACTATTTTTCATTTGATATACCATCATTATCTAATCCTAATTCATTGGCTATGTAAGTCGAGTCAAGATGGAAGAATTGTCCTAGGAGATAGGAACGAACTCTTATGGTTTTGGTTTAAGCTCGGTTTTTAATACAAACGACATTAGAATAGAAGATGCGAACAAGTTGATGGTAAACTATAGGTTCAAGGTCACAAGTTTATCAAATTCCACTCTTGTAAAAGAGGAAGATATCTAAAATTGATATCTATCATAGCTTGCAGAGAATGAATACGTTCTTTCTAATTTTGTAAGAGTCAAAATATTGATAATACCAAAAACGATGATTTCTAGGGCCAAGATGATTGAACTCTTATGGTTTTGGTTTAAGCTCGGTTTTTAATACAAACGACATTAGAATAGAAGATGCGAACAAGTTGATGGTAAACTATAGGTTCAAGGTCACAAAGTTTATCAAATTTCCACTCTTGTAAAAGAGGAAGATATCTAAAATTGATATCTATCATAGCTTGCAGAGAATGAATACGTTCTTCTCTAATTTTGTAAGAGTCAAAATATTGATAATACCAAAAACGATGATTTCTAGGGCCAAGATGATTGAAACACGAGTTTTGGATAGTCATATTAGGATCAACGGGATTAAGAATAGGAATTTCAGGAATAGGAGGAGGATTTGAAGGTGGATTTGGTTGTTGGTTTGAACGACCAGATGAAGACCTAGCACGTTTAAGATTTGACATGGTTTAAGAAAATCGGGAATAGAATAACCTGCAATTATAAAACACATGTATGCAATATAATCAATCCCAAAACTCAATTGAGTCCTCAATATTTCAAGGTTCTCTAAACCAATCCTAATGGGCAAAGTTTTTGAAAAACTTATTGAAAAATAAGGTTTTGTAAATCAATATATGTATAATTTTCATAACAACAACATAATTTAATCAAAACACAATAATTTGAAAAACACTTTTTTTATTTCGAAAATTTCAAAGAATTTTGGAAAATTCTTGTGTTTTTTTATGAAATTAGTTGTAAAATCTAGTTTCTAATCACTAAACAATCAATGCCCGATCACTATTTTAATCTAGAACTAATTAAAACTAGTTCTATGTTCAAAATTTGATAAAATATAAGTTTTAGAAAAATACCTTGAAGATTTTTGGATTTTGTGAGAATGTGATGATTTTTGCATTAATTTGATGATTCCAACAGGTTTAGGAGATGATATTTGAAGTAATTTCGATAAGAAACATTGTTTTTGAATCAAAGTGATGATTTGGGGAGAGAGAAGATGAGAACAACGAAGAGAATAGAAGAGAGGGTTTGAAAATTTTGGGTGTTCTGCCCGTGTTAAAAAATAGAACCCCAGGGGGTATCGATTCCCCTATGGGGGAATCGGTTCCCCTTCAAAGGGGGAATCGGTTCCCCTTCAAGGGGGTATCGATTCCCTCTGCCCTATAATTCAAAAATTTGTATTTTAAACACTCAAAATGCTAAATTAATCTTCTCTAGTGGTATTGACAACTCATATATCAAAAATTAATTATGTTCAATCAATCAAATTAATTCTTAAACTATATTTGAACATAAAGTTAATTTTTCATCAAGAATCATAAACTCCCCCTAACTAATAGCAATGGATGTAATCAGAAATTACTATTATAAGCATTTTTCATTTATTTTTTAAAGTGCTAAAATTATTTGAATCACTTATTGAAGATAGGTCAGTTAAACCTAATTCTCTCCTAAGTGTCCAAAAACGTTCCTTGTCTAAAGGTTTTGTAAAGATATCCGTTAATTGATGCAAAGTATCAAAAAAATTCTAGAACTACATCTTCCTTAGTGACATAGTCTCTAATGAAGTGATGTCTTATTTCAATGTGCTTAGTTCTAGAGTGTTGGATGAGATTTTTAGTGAGATAAATAACACTAGTATTGTCACACTTGATAGGAATGGTACTTACTTCAATTCCATAATTAAAAAGTTATTGTTTCATCCATAAAACTTGTGCACAACAACTACCAACTGAAATGTATTCCGCTTCAGTGGTAGATAATGCAATACAATTTTGTTTCTTTGAAAACCAAGAAATCAACATATTTCCAAGGAATTAGCAAGTACCGGAGGTGCTTTTCCTATCTAATTTGCATCATCCATAATCCACATCAGAAAAGACATGTAAGCTAAAGATAGAGTCTCTAGGATACCAAAGTCCTAAACTACGAGTGTCCTTAAGGTATCTAAAGATTCTCTTAACAGCTAGTAAATGTGATTCCTTAGGGCATGATTGAAATC